AGGCAAGTACTCAACTACTAAGCCATGCCCCCAGCCCAGCACTAGGACATTTTGAGCTCACATAATGCTGAGCATTGTGGCTCATGCCTATAATCCTAACTACTCAGGAAGCTGATATCTGAGGATCCAGGCTCAAAGCTGCATCTAGGACAGCTTTTGTGTGGTAACACAGAACGTAGTATTCTGTCCATACATGTGTGTCCTTGCATGCATGTGTGTGTGTGTGTGTGCATGCTTGTTGTATGTGTGATCTCCTTCTGATAAATCCAACACAACCCAGTCCACAGGAAGCTTCGTCCTAAATATCTTGCATAATTCATAGAGGCTCCACCTCCAGACATCATGGTAGGAATGAGTGTCCACCCTCTTCATTTCTCAGTGGGGAATCACCATCAATGTGTGAACACTTGAGGGACAACCAAGCCACAGTCTGACCATAAGAGAGTTGTTAGGAAAAGCCATGTGGCCTGGGCATTTGGGGGCAGAGTCTAGGACTGGAGCTTAGGCGTATAAGGTGGATGTCTGGGGCCCGGTGCATGGTGACCCTTCCCACCTCTTCTTTCTTATGACCTGACTGTCTCCTGCTCTCAGGTGGGACCCATCGAAGCCACCACCTTCACCCTCAGGGCTGTGAGACCTCACTCCAGGTATTTAATCCAGGTGGCTGCTCAGGACCTCACTGACTACGGAGAGCCCAGTGACTGGAGTCTCCCTGCTGCTACCTCTGTGGCCCTGGGCAAGTAATGGAGACTTCCCAGAGCTCCTAAAAGGAGGGGGCTGGATCCTGTCATGCCCCCCCCACTGCTGCCTATTTGAGAGTGGGGGATCCATCTGGACTGGTTTCCAGTTCTGACCTGATGCTGCTGAGAAGCTGGGAAATCTCGAGCCAGTGTCTTTGCCTCTCTGAGCCTCAGTTCCTGGCCTGTGAAATGGGATTGGGTTCTCCCCCACTTGAGCACAGTACAGAGCTTCAAAAACAAGTATTTTCCATTAAAAACTTTCACTAGCAAAGAAGCTTTGTTGGAAACAGCATGCCTGCTGTCTTAGTCCTATTTTTTCATGTGTGTGCCACTATAACAGAGAAACCTAGAATGATTTTTTTTTTCTGGAGATAGGAGTCACTACGTAGCTCAAGCTGTCTGGAAACTGAAAGTGAAGCCCAGCCTGGGCTCAAAGTTATTGCGACCCCCATCTTTTATCAGTATGCTGGTGTGGTGGCTCATGCCTATAACCCCAGCTACTCGGAAGACATAGGTAAAAAGATGGCAGTCCAGTAGAGCTTGGGGAAAAGTGTGAGGCCCTATCTGAAAATTATAGAGCTGAGTGCCAGTGGCTCAACACCTATAATCCTAGCTAGTGAGGAGGCTGAGATCTGAGGATCCTGGTTTGAAGCCAGCCCAGACAAGCAAATCCAAGAGACGTATCATGAAATAATCACCAAAAAGATGGGGGCTGGGAAGGTGGCTCAGTGGTAGAGCGCTTGCCTTGCATGCATGAGGCCCTGGGTTTGATTCCTCTGCACCACATAAGCAAAAAGAAAAAAGCCAGAAGTGGCGCTGTGGCTCAAGTGGTAGAGCACTAGCTTTGAGCTGAAGAGCTGAGGGACAGCGCCCAGGCCCAGAGTTCAGGCCCCATGACTGGACCCCCCCCCAAAAAATCACCAAAAAGCTGGAAGTGCAGTTCTGGCTCACATGGTAGAGCACAAACCTTGAATCCATAAAGCTCAGAGATAGCACGCAGGACCCAGGACTAGCAATAACAACCACAGTAAAAACCACAAATACACTGAAAGTGGGTGGGATTTGAGGATTTACTGAGATTGCCTGTCTACAGGGCTGAGGGTCACTTGGAGTCAGGAAGTTTAATTACATACAGTAAAGCTACCAGTACAGCCATATTCACTTCAGCTCTATTAGCCATAGCCAAGGCATGGAATCAGCTCAGATGCTCCTTAGTGGATGAATGGATCAAGAAAATGTGATATGGGCTGGGAAGGTGGCTCAGTGGTAGAGTGCTTGCCTCGCATGCATGAGGCCCTGGGTTCCATTCCTCAGCACCACATAAGCAAAAAGAAAAAAGCCAGAAGTGGCGCTGTGGCTCAAGTGGTAGAGTGCTAGCCTAGAGCTGAAGAGCTGAGGGACAGAGCCCAGGCCCAGAGTTCAGGCCCCACAACCGGACCCCCAAAAAAAAAGAAAATGTGATATAGATAATGGAATTTTACTCATCCATCAGAACGACTGATATTACAACATTTGTAAAGGTATGGACTATGTGCTGATAGTTCATGCATGTAACTCCAGCTACTCAGGAGGCTGAGATTTGAGGAGTGCAGTTTGAAGCCAGCCTGGGCAGGAAAGGCCATGATACTCTTTTCTCAAATTAACCACTAGAAAACCAGATGTGGTGCTGTGGCTCAAACTGGTAGAGGGCTAGCCTTGAGTGAAAAAACTCAGGGACAGTGCCGAGGATCTGACAAACAAAGAAAAGAAAAGAAAAGAAATGGAAAAACCTGGAATAATAAATTATGTTAAGGAAAGTAATTCAGGCCCAGAAAGACATCGGATGTGTGTTTTCCCTTACATGTAGAAGCTAAATTTACCTTAGAAACTCTTCATACATTAGGTTGAATGCAAGTGTATACAAATGTATTAACTGAAATACAGTGAATTCAATAGTGTAATTCTTTAGCAAAATCAAAGTTCAGCAAAATAAAACTCCAGGAAGCAGGTACTCAAAAGGGGTGGAGTGTGGTCAAGGGTAAAGGGATAGAAGAATGAAGAGGAGAAGAGGGGGAGATGCAGTTAAGAATCCAATGTCCATTCTACAAAATGAGAAAGAGTGAGGGAAGGGGTAGGGAGGGAGGGATGAGAATGTTGAACGGGGTGATATGGATCAAGATATATTGTGAACTGCTTTGTTAAATGGCAACTCCTTGTAAAACTACTTAAAGAAAAGGAAAATATAGATATTAAAAATGCTTAATTACAACATTTTTCTCTCCAACCTTGGTATCCCATTTTCATTTGGGCCGCATCCCCGCCACTCATGGCTAGCTGCTACCTGAATCTAAAATTAAGGAATCCAAAGGCCTGTAAAAAAATATTTCTAGATTCTTCTCTGTAACTTCCGGTAAAATCCAACCTGGCCATTTTGAGGAGTAAAGAGAACAGTACTTGGGCTTGTACTCAGGGCCTCTCATGCTCCTGAGTCTTGCTTACTCACTTAGCACTTGAACCATGCCTCTAGTCCAGCTTTTTGGTGCTTAATTGGAGATAAGAGTATTTTCTTCCCAGGCTGGCTTTGAACCGTGATCCTCAGATCTCAACCTTCTAAGTCATTAGATTACAGGTGTGAACCACTGGCACCCAGCTCTCAACGTTTTCATCATAAATACTCCAGGATGTTAGGGCACTAGTGCCTTCTGTGAGCCAATGTGCCTGTACCCATGTCTGGGGTTCACTAATCAACTTTCTTGGTATATACTTCAGTATGCCCTTGAAACTATTCTTTTTTGGGACAACATAATTTTGTGGTACTGCCAGGCACTCAGGAGGATGAAATCTGAGGATCGCAGTTCAAAGCCAGCCTGGGCAGGAAAGTGTATCTCCAATAAACTATTCAGAAAAGGCCAGAAGTGGTGCTGTGGCTCAACTGAGAGGTGCTAACTTTGAGCACAAACTGGTTCAGAGACAATGCCCAGGCCCTGAGTTCAAGCCCCAAGACTGGCCTAAAAACCAACAAAAAAGTGGCATCCCATGGGGCCCAGCAGAGCCCAGAGCCTTTTGGATACCTTGTACCTGGAGTATCTCTGGTCACTCACCTGATGACAGGTGAACCCATCCCCATCACAATTTAATTTTTTCCTCCCAGCAGGGGAGTCACTTTCTCAATACTATCTCACCAGGGAATATTTCCACTACATGGACTTGGTAGACCAGTAGTCTAGACCTTGCTCTCTGCTGCGTCCCCAGTATAAACGCAGAACAAACTTTATGAAAGAGACAGCCAGGTAGCTCATCTTTGAAAGATCAGGAGAATCGTGGTGTGAAGCCTGCCCCTTAAAACAAAAAACAAAAACAAAAAACCCGAGACTCTATCTTGAATTGTAGTGGGGGGGGGCAGTGCGACCACTCAGTCCGCAGTAAAAATATAAAAGATTTTATTGAGCGAAAAGTGCTGATGCGCCAGGACTGCACCTGGAGTTGGGATCCCAGGAAACAGTCCCGAGTGCCAGCCCATATCGGCTTTTAAGCATTTGGGGCTAGGGCGGGAAAAGGGGGAGGCTGGGTGTTGGTTTTAGCCAATGATTGTTACAAGAAATGCACACCTTAAGTTTAAATTTCCCGCCGAAGTTTTGCTTGTGGGAAGCAGGGGAATAGAACAAAGGGTGGTGATGGTCCTGCAGGGTTAGGGCTCACATTGCTCAGAAAAGAGCCTTCGAGTTACAGAGTGGCAGGGTTATGGAGTTACAGAGTTACAATTACAGTTACTAGCTAAAGTAATGAGTTACCAGGGAAGTCTTATCCACAGCACACTTACATTTATATCTTACAATCATTCATTATCCATTTTACACAATCCAAGTCAAATATCATATTCCATCTTTACGTCCTCCACCATATCACGATTACACAACAAAAAGCAGAAATGGAGCCGTGGCTCAAGTGGTAGAGGGCCAATCAATAACGCTAAAGGAGCATGCAAAGCCCTTAGTTCAAGCACAAAGCAAAAAGAGGATGAAAAACACAGAACTCCGCAGTGTCAGAACAAAATTTTAACCAGTGATTCTAGAGTTGTAGAGACGCACCCACGAAAAGGAAGGGTCCAAATTCCCACGGCCACGGAACCTTGATTCCGCGGCCTCGTGTTTGCAAGTCGGGTGGGAACACACTGGGACTCGGTTGCCTGGGAGCTGAATACGGACCGGAAGCTGCGTTCGCAGCAGCCAATAGGAGATACAGGCGGAAGTGTCGTATCCGGAAACACGGGTGACGGTCGAAACCGCTTCAAAAAGCCCTAAGATAACCAAGTCTCGGGAGCTTGGCAGCCGCGTAGGAGGCGAACATGTCGGAGCGGAAAGTTTTAAACGTAAGAATCCGGCTGTTTCGCCTTTCTACCCGCAGGGGGATATTAACGGACTCCGGGGAGGGGCCGCAACTCCCGGTGATTTCCATTCGGGGCCGGTTTTTCCTCCCGGGCTTGGTTCCCCGGACGCCGCCCAATCACCGCCCTCGGAGGGCGGAGGCGGGCCTTCAGTGAGCCTTCCTTCCTCTGATTGGGTGCACGTCCTGGGGGCGGGGCTAGCCGCCCTCCTTTTCCTCTGGCGCCTGAGATTGGCTCTTCCTGCGGCGTTCATCCAGTCAGCGCCTCAGGTAGCCGAACGTCCAGGAGGAAGGAATTAGCGAAGCTGTGCTGTTCACCCGCTTTAGGGGTGGGATTCAAAGGTCCCGCCCCTGCGACGTTTCTGACCAATCATCGTTCTCGGGAGGGTTCTGTTTTGCTTTCGAGCTTCGGTTCGCCCAGTGAGGGACCCTGCCAGTCCTTGGGAGCGCAGCCCACCTCACCGCACCCACCCGATTGTTTAGAGCCCATTCGGAGCCCCATGGCTCCCCTTCGTCCAATGTGCCGCAGCAGTTTGCCCCAGAGTCATGTCAACAGAACTAAACCCTGAACAGCTTGAATCTTGAGAGACTCAGTGTCCCCCTCTGTAAAGTGGGTACATTTTGCTTTCCTACCTCCTTGGGGTCGTTGCTAGTGATCCTTGAGACATGGAATATAGTGTGTTCTGCGTATTGCCTGCATCCCGCTAAATCTGCTGCAAACACAAATCATTTTATCTTCTGATTCTTCAGTGACTTGGAATTGTGATTTTATTTTTATTTTTTGTTGTTTTTGAGACAGAGTCTCTGTAGCACAGGCTGGTCTGGAATTTCTGATCCTCCTGCCTGGGATGTTAGAAATGCACAACTCCTTGGTGTCATAAATGAATGGACAGATAAGAGATATAGGAGATCTCATGAAGGCAATTTTGTTTTTCTCACAATGGTGCAATAGGATATTCTACCCAGAGCTAGTCAGAGTCAGGTACACTGTGGAGGGCAGTTATCTAGGCTTTTATCCCAATCTAAACTGTCTCTTCCCCTTGTCAAGGAGTTAGGTCCACAGTCTAAGTATCATTGATTACCAAGTTTAGAAAGCGGGCCATTCACTAATTCCTTTATTTTTCCTCATTTATCTATTGCAGTTTATTATTTTAACTTCCTTAACAAAATATATCTCCCTGACATGGCTAGCTGGTAACAAGCAGCACAGATACACTTTAGTTACACTTGAGCTAAATAAAGCAGGTAATTCCAGAAAATAACAATACACAATACCAAATACACTTTATTTGTTCTTTGCCAGTCCTGGGGCTTGAACTCAGAGCTGGGCACTATCCCTGAGCTTCTTTTGCTCAAGGCTAGCACACTTGAGCTACAGCACTACTTCTGGGTTTTTCTGTTTATGTGGTACTGAGGAATTGAACCAAGGGCTTTATGCATGCTAGGCAAGCACTCTACCACTAAGCCGCATTCCCAGCACCAAAATACACTTTAGTGTGACAGAAAAGAATAGTTTTTCTTACAGGGATTATAGGAGTTCAACACTGCACCTAGCTTGGAGTTAATTTAAGTAACACAAATTCACACACACACACACACACACAATCCATCCATGTCCCACCTTGGATATTATGGAGACCTAAGATTGCTCTTCCTTAAAAAGGCCTGCCTTTACTGGATGCCAGTGGCTCATGCCCATAATCCTAGCTACTCAGGAGGCTGAGATCTAAGGATTGCGGTTCAAAGCCAGCATGGACAGGAATATCCCTGAGACTTATCTCCAATGAACCACCGAAACACCAGAAATGAAGCTATCACTTAAATGGTAGAGTGCTAGCTTTGAGTAAAAAAGCTCAGGGATAGTACCCAGTTCCTTAGTTCAGGCCACACGTGCACACACACACACACACACACACACACACACAGAGCCACTCACTAGTGACTCATGCCTGTAACCCTAGCTACTCAGGAGGCTGAGATCTGAAGATTACAGTTCAAAGCCAGCCTGGGCAGGAAGGTCTGTGAGACTCTTATCTCTAGTTAATCACAATAAAATGAAGTAAAGCTGTGGCTGAAGGCAGCCTTGAGCAAAAGGGCTCTGGAACAGCTCCCGCTTTTGTACTTGATAACCATCTAGGACCTTGAATTTCAGTATCGTTCTTGTTCCTCAATCAGAAGAACAGTGGATACCAGGCTTCTCTTGGTGAGCCACAAGCCCAGCCCCAGTAGAAGCCTCCATCACTAAGGGCTCTCCACACATCCTGCTCCTTTGCTGGAGGAAGATAATAGAAGCTTGGTACTGCCCCAGTGCCCTGTCCTCGCATCACTTCTGAGTTTTTCCCTTTGGCTAATTGTTGAAGAAAGCCACAGCACTGAGGTGGTGTGTAACCTACGTGCTAAGATTCATACTAATATGATTCAAACCCAGGTCCTGCAGGAACCTCTTCCCGCTGCCCCTGGCCTGCTTATCACCTCCACCTTTGACCTTGCCTTCCTCCCTACAGAAATACTACCCACCAGACTTTGACCCGTCAAAGATCCCCAAACTCAAGCTGCCAAAGGACCGGCAGTACGTGGTGCGGCTCATGGCTCCTTTCAACATGAGGTGAGTGGTGGCTGTGTGGCCGGCACCAGTCATGGCAAATGAACCCCGCCGGCCAGCATCTCTGCACAGTTGGCCTGTCTCAAATCTTGCCTCTGGTGTGGACCGCTGCAAGCCTCACTTTCCTCCTCTTTGAAGAGTAAACTTCCTAAGCCAGGTGCTGATGGCTCACACCTGTCATCCTAGGTACTCAGGAGGCTGAGATCTGAGGATTGTGGTCCGAAGTCACCTGGAGCAGAAAAGTCCCCATGAGACTCTTATGTCCAATTAACCACTCAAAACCCAGAAATGGTGCTGTGGTAAAGTGCTAACCGTGAGCACAAAGAGGCTTAGGGACAGCACCCAGGCTCTGAGTTCAAGCTCCACACAACTGACAAAAGAAAAAAAGATTAAACTTCCCGTGCTTGGGCTCGGGCTTCAAGTAAGGAAGAGAAACAAATGTTGGGCAGCCCACACCCACCCCCCAGGCCAGAGGTGACAGTCTAGCTTGATCCTGCCTCAGGCCCTTTGTACCTGCTACGTCCTCTTCCTGGAGCACCCACAAGACTGCTCCTCTCTACCTCTTCAGTCCTAGCTCAGCTCTCATCCCCTTGCAGGGTACAACCTTAGTCTGGCGGGCCCTTCAGACTAGTTCTGAATCATCCAACTGCTGACCCTTGTGTGCATTTGATATCTCATATACCTGTTGCTCCTTTGGGTCGGTGAGGAACAGAAGGTTCCAGGTGACCTTTCTTCTGGCACTCCCTCCTTCACTCTGTTGATGTTGGGTATCAGACAAAGGCCCCCCTGCATCGGGTTGTGCAGTCTGGTGAGGAGTGGGGGGTGTTACCTTAGGCAGGCACACGGAGTCCGTGGGACAGAGAGCCGCTGCACTGCTGGGGCAGAAGGGGGCAGCTTCTCAGCCAACATGGTGAGCGAAGTGTCAGCACCCGTGTCAGCAGACTGCTCACTGGTGCTCACGCCTGTAATCCCAGAGGCATGGGAAGCTTGCAGTTTGTAACTGGCCTGGGCAGAAATAGTTTGCCAACCTGTTTCCAATTAACTGATAAAAAGCAGGATTGGAGGTGTGCCTTGAGTGGCTTTGGGCCCCAGCTGAGCAAGTGGAATCACACACACACACACGCACGCACGCACGCACGCACGCACGCACGCACGCACGCACACGCACGCACGCACGCACGCACATTCTCTCCGCCCTCTCTCTCTCCCTCTCTGTCTGTCTCTCTCTCCTTCCTTCCCTCCCTCCCTCTCTTTCTCTCTCTCTCTCTGTCTCTCTCTCTCTCTCTCTCTCTTCCCCAGACTCTGGGAATGGCAAAGCAAAGGCCCTGGGGCAGGAGCAGGCTGGAGGTGTTTGTAGGAGCAGGAGGCTAGCCCGATGGGGCTAGCAGCCAGGGTGACAAAAGTCCATCTTCCCTGGTGGGGTATTGTGGATGGATACCCCATGGTGGCAGGTCTGCTTCTGACCAGTCCGGACACTCAGCTCTGAGGCCGGGGTGGAGACCTGGTGGGTGTAAGAGCCCGTGTGGTACCCCTGCGTCCTGCCAGTGGGCATGGCTTGAGCTCCTGCCCCATCCCAGGTGCAAGACGTGCGGAGAGTACATCTACAAGGGGAAGAAGTTCAACGCACGCAAGGAGACCGTGCAGAACGAGGTCTACCTGGGGCTGCCCATCTTCCGCTTCTACATCAAGTGCACACGCTGCCTGGCTGAGATCACCTTCAAGGTAGACCACCCCGCCCGCCCCCCTCCGCTGCTCCCGTCAGATTGCACAGGGAAGGCTTCTGACGCCCCAGGAGACCCCACTCAGTTGATGGCAGAAAATTGGGGACCATGTTGGTGACATCATTACTTCTACATGCAAAAAGTTAGTAGAATAGACTGCTGTAAGGTAACAGACCCGACAGGCAAATCATCTGGTAGAACACTGTACAGTCAGCCGGGCCTGGTGGCTCATGCCTATAATCCTAGCTACTCAGGAGGCTGATACCTGAGGATTGCAGTTCAAAGCCAGTTGGGACAGGAAAGTTCATGAGACTCTTATGTGCAGTTAATCACAGAAAAAGCCTAAAGTGGTGCTGTGGCTCAAGTGGTAAAGCGATAACAGCGCTCAGGCGTAGAGTTCAAGGCCCAGCCTTGAATACAGTCAGTAAAAGTCATGTTTGTTCAGCAGCACTGGGGTTGGAACCTCACACATGTAGATAAGCACTTACCACTGTGCTATATCTCCAGCCTACGTTTTTCGTATTCATTGTTATCACAATTATGGACAAGACAAAACAGGACAGGGAACCTAAGACACCATTCATACACTTCTGCTCTAGGCTGAGTATATATTCTTTTTTTTTTTCTTTTGCCAGTCCTGGGGCTTGAACTCAGGGCCTAGCCACTGTCCCTAAGCTGCTTTTGCTCAAGGCTAGCACTATACCGCTTTAGCCACAGTGCCAAGGGGTGGCTTTTTCTATTTATGGGATACTGAGGAATGGAACCCAGGGCTTCATGCATGCTAGGCAAGAACTCTACCACTAACCACATTCCCACCCATCCACCCTTTTTTTTTTGTTAGTCCTGAGGCTTGAACTCTGAGCCTGGGCGCTGCCCCTCCCTCAACTCTTCAACTCAAGGCAAGTGCTCTACCACTTGAGCCACAAAACCATTTCCGTTTTTTTTTTTTGTCGGTCATGGGGCTTGAACTCTGCGCTTGGGCGCTGTCCCTCAGCTCTTCAGCTCAAGGCGAGAGCTCTACCACTTGAGCTACAGCGCCTCTTCCGGTTTTCTGGTGGTTTATTGGAGATAGGAGTCTCACTGGTCTTTCCTACCCGGGCTGGCTTTGGCTTTGAACCACGATCCTCAGATCTCAGCCTCCTGAGTAGCTAGGATTACAGGCATGAGCCACCAGCGCCCGGCATCCATTTCCAGTTTTTTATTGAAGATGAGTTTCATGGAATTTCCTGTCCAGGCTGGCTTTGAACTGTGATCCTCAGATCGCAGCCTCCTGAGTAGCTAGGATTATAGGCGTGAGCAGCTGGTGCCCAGCTTGAGTATATATTCTTTTACCATAAACTTTTTTCCTTTGACCAAAATAGATTTGCCTGCTGGTTGTCATAGCACCTTCCTGTAACACTAGCACATCATAAATAAAAGGGCAGCAACATAGAGGGTGCAGAATGGAGGCTGGACAGTGAGCAGGGCTGGCAGAGAGGGCTTAAAGCCCATGCCAGGGAATTGGGTATTTCCATAGAGAAGATAGGAGCTTTACAAAGAACAAGCTGCCAAAGCAATAAGACAAGAAAAGGAAACGAGAGCAGAAGGAATATAAAGTTGCTGCAGTGCCCCGGCTGCTGGTGTCTTCATCCATTGTCCCAGGACACAGAGCTGACTTGTGTCCCCCACGTCCCCCAGACAGACCCTGAAAACACAGACTATACCATGGAGCACGGGGCCACAAGGAACTTCCAGGCTGAGAAGCTCCTGGAGGAAGAGGAGAAACGCGTGCAGAAGGAGAGGGAGGATGAGGAGCTGAACAACCCCATGAAGGTGAGCTATGGTGCGAAGTTCTGTCGTTCTTCACTGTGGTGCAGCTCCATCCTTGCCTGGGATCTGGGATCCAGAACCGAGAGTCCCACACAACATGCTGCGAGGCTCTTGTCTCTCCTGGGCTTGGAATCTCCCATGAGGTTTTGGTGAAGACATTTGCGTGGGGGCCACCTGATCGGAAGGTCTGACCGGGGCTGTGTTGGGCTGCAGACTCCGGCGGCCCTGCTGGTTTTACACATAACTGGGCAGGAGGCCTCGGCAGTCACCCCATGGGCAGTGGCACGCCACTGCGTGAGCCTCTTCCCTACCTGGCGTCTGCTGCCCCCAGGGAGAGCCAGGAGGTCACGTGACTTTTGCAGCCACTTTTGCAGCCTCCGCTGGGAAGTGGCGCCTTGTCCATCTGTTCTATCAGGAGTGAGCTGCCGTGTCCAGACTATGCCTCCATTGTACAGAAAAGTTGTAGGACGATTTTTTTTTTTTTTGTGGAACTCGGGGTCTAGGCACTTTCCCTGAGCTTTTTCACGCAAGGCTGGAGCTCTACCACTTGAGCCACAGCTCCACTTCTGCCGTTTTGGTGAGTCATTGGAGATAGAGTCTCACAGACTTTCTTGCCCAGGCTGGCTTTGAACCAGGATCCTCAGATCAGCCTCCTGAGTAGCTAGGATTACAGGAGGGAACTACCAGTGGCCAATTTATGCACAAACTTAAAACCACCCAAACAACTGCCACTTTCTAGAGGGCAAAAGACAGCAAGGCCCCACAGAAGCAGAAGGCGCTAAAGCACCACAGCCAGGCCAGGCTGGCTCTACCACCCAGCTCCAAGGCCTGCAGCACCTCAGTTGCCTTTTCTGTTTCTAGGAGGGTTTGGGGCATTTGAGAACCTAATAGCAGGTGCTTTTCTTTTTCTTCCTTCCTTTGTGTGTGTGTGTGTGTGTGTGTGTGTGTGTGTGTCAGTTGTAGGGCTTGAACAGCCTGGGCACTATCCTTCAGGTTTTTTGTTTTTTTTTTGCTCAAGGCTAGCACTCTACCACCTGAGCTTTTTAGCAGTTCATTGGAGATAAGACTGTTGTATCTGGGGACTGGGAAGGTGGCTCAGTGGTAGAGCGCTTGCCTTGCATGCATGAGGCCCTGGGTTCGATTTCTCAGCACCACATAAGCAAAAAGAAAAAAACTGGAAGTGGTGCTATGGCTCAAGTGGTAGAGTGATAGCCTTGAGCTGAAGAGCTGAGGGACAGCGCCCAGGCCCAGAGTTCAGGCCCCACAACCGGACCCAAAAAAAAAAAAAAAGACTGTTGTATCTGGGCTGGCTTTGAACCACAATCCTCAGATCTCAGTGCCCAGAGTAGCTGAATGCAGGCATAGGCCAGCAGTGCCCGGCTGCAGGTGCCCACCTTTACTTGGTGAAATTTCTCATGATTACATTCACTGATGAAGCCAGATTGGAAATCCAGACTTCCTGACTCAACTGGATCCTTTCTGCCCATCCTCTGCCTGTGGGTTCACAGGCGACCCCACTACACAGCTGTGTGGCCTCCAGCGGTTGGTTGCCTGCCCTCGGTGTTCCTTCCACAAGTGGGGCCCAGGTAGGACAGGGGGGCTGGTATCTGGATCCCTGTGAGCGCCAGCTCCCCCGCCTCACGGCCACAGGTGCTAGAGAACCGCACGAGGGACTCGAAGCTGGAGATGGAGGTGCTGGAGAACCTGCAGGAGCTGAAGGACTTGAACCAGCGCCAGGCGCACGTGGACTTCGAGGCCATGCTACGCCAGCACCGCCTGTCCCAGGAGGAGCGGCAGCAGCAGCAGCAGGAGGAGGACGAGCGGGAGACGGCGTGAGTCACCGCGGGGTGCCTATTCCTGAGACTCCAGTGTCCTTGGGGAGACAGGGAGACGTCCCTGAGCCCTCCCACCCCCACCCCACATGTTTACTCCCCTGGGGAACACAGGATCCCTCTGTGCTAAGCAAGCAATCTCCCCATGCTGAGCCACAGCCCAGCCAGCAGAGGTGACGACTTTAAGTCCTCTGTTCCAGGGCAGGGAAGGGCAGTAGGGGCCCCATGCTCCTTGACAGAGGGTCCCCACAGCCTTGGCCCTAGCAGATCAGGTCTCCATGCTCCTCTGTTCTGTCCCCCAGGGCCCTGCTAGAGGAGGCTCGGCGAGGCCGGTTGCTGGAGGACTCAGACTCAGAGGACGAGGCTGTTCCCGCCGCGCCCCGGCCTGCGGTCAGGCCCAGCCCCACCGCCATCCTACACGAGGTGAGCCAGGCCCGGCCCGCAGGGGCTCGTGCGGTGCCATGCCAGGTGGCCGGAGCATGTTGTGTGTGATTTCCTGTTTCCCGTTGAAGCTGTGGGAGCGGGGGCCCTTGTGATACCCCAGGACTCCACAGCGTGACAGGGGACCTGGCTTCTGGGGGCTCCTGGAGCATCGTTCCTGCCCTGTGGATGTCACCAGCCAGATTGTCCAGCTGGGGCACAGGGAAGAGCCAGGGGAACTGGTCCTTGCAGGCTCAACCCTCATGCTCCTCACTGTGGCTGGAGCTGGGGCACCTGGCCGAGCTGTGGAGGCCTCGCCCAATAGGAGAGGTGGGCAGGAAATGTCTTGTCCACCCAGCTCCATAGCAGTCCACTCTCCATCTCATCAGTGCGCGCAGCCACAGCCCCAGAGGCTGCCCCGTGGCCTGAGGGTCCAGCCTGTCCCCCTAATTGTCTAGCCTGACCCACAAGGCCACCTGCCTTGGGTGGTGGTCAGTGCACCTCTGGAACTCTGGGAGGAGATGGATGCCTGGGGGGGGGGGCACATCCCCTCCTATCCCTATACCAGCCTGTCATTGGTTAGAGCATAACTACCTGACCATATCCTGCAAAGGAAGCTGGGAAATGTAGTTTTGAGTGTCAGCAGTGGTGTCCCAGCTGAGGATCCATCAAGGTTAGCAGACAGCATAGACGTGGGCTGCATTCCCTCAGCCATCAATCTTCTGATGTCACAGCAAAGCCAGCTGGCCGGCTTGCTCTTGTGCAGATTCTGGGGCTTCAACACGGCCTCACATTATCACATGGCTTTATTTTATTTTGTTTTATTTTGCCGATTGTGGGGCTTAAACTCTAGGCCTGGGCGCTGTCCCTCAGCTCTTCAACTCAAGCTCTACCACTTGAGCCTCAGCGCCATTTCCAGTTTTCTGGTGTTCATTGGAGATAAGAGTCTCATGGACTTTCCTGCCTGGGCTGGCTTTGAACCACAATCTTCAGATCTCAGCCTCCTAAGTAGCTAGAATTATAGGCGTGAGCCACCAGCGCCTGGCTGCTTTTTTTTTTTTTTAAGGTTTGTGGTCTACCATTTCAGCCATGCCTCTTTCTGTTTTGTTTTGTTTTGTTTTTCTGGTGAATTGAAGACAAGAGTCTCTTGGATTTATCTTCCTGGACTGGCTTCAAAACCCAATCCTCAAATCTCAGCCTCCTGAATAGCTAGGATTACAGGTGTGAACCACTGGTGCCTGGCTTGGTTTTTCTTTGCATTTAAGAAACCATTTTGCTGGGCACCGGTGGCTCAATGCCTGTAATTTAGAGCAGGGGAGAGAGCTGGCCAGCTCATCAGCTGCTTTACCAGGGTCATTCGTGGGCTGGGGTCGAGGAGGTCAGAACAGTTCTAACCTGGGGCAGGTGCCCTCCCATCGTGTGGTATCTCCCCCTCCCCCCACTACACCACTAGGTTCCAAAGACCAAGAGGAAGGCGGATGGCAGGGCGCAGCTGGCGGGCCTGGTGGTGGTGAAGAAGATAAAGACACAAGCCGAGGGCCCGGGCCAGGGGAAGGCCCCAGGTAAGTGCCTCAGCATGGCTCACCGCCTTCTTGCTGGACTCAGGGCCCTGGTGTCCCAGGCCAGCTAGCTGCTGTGCTGGCCCTGAGCCCTGACCTGTTTCCCGTGCTGTGAAATGGGGTGTAATGAGGGGCCGTTGACAGTCAGGGCCCATTGCTGAGGACGCTAGGGGACCCCAGCGCTGGGCTTCCATGAGCCATCGGTTACAGGAATCCCAGTGCTGCGCGTGTAAGGACGAGCCCAGAAAGGGGTGGCCACTGGTCCCAGGCCACACAGCGGGGGGGTGGCAAGGCCCAAACTGTGGGACCTCATCATCTGCCTCGTGGTGGTATCTTTGCCCTTGGGGCCATCTCTGCTTTCTTCTGGCAAGTTCCAGGGTGGGGTGGTGGGTCAGGACACACCCGCCACCTCCACCCTCCACCCTGGGCTTCGCAAATGGATAGCACTGGCTGGCCATGGGCTCCCTCCAGCCTTCCTCACGGAGGTGGGGGGGCGGCCTTCCATGCCAGGACAGCTGATCGGCCCGCCCCTGCCCCTCACAGGTGCCCCACAGAGTGGGACGGAAGCCGGCCCTGTGCCCCAGACGCCCGGCGCCTCCTCCCTGAGCCAGCTGGGTGCCTACGGGGACAGTGAGGACAGCGAGGGCAGCAGCTGAGCGCCGCCCACCCGAGGGCCATCTCAGGTCCAGCCTTGGCCACACTGGAAACCCCAGGAGCTGGCGGTCACCACTGGAGGTCCCCACACCAGCCAGCGCCACCAAAGGACACCTCATCCACGGCCGGCAAGGCCCAGCTCCTGCACGCCAGCAGCGTGCTGTCCCCAGAAATCCTGGCTGCACCCGGCCTCCGAGCCCTGCTGGGCTGTCCTGGAGATGTGCACCCTGACTGCCCTCTGGAGTGCCCCCCTCCCTCTCCCCCATGCCACCTGTGCAACCCGTAAATGGACTCTGCCTGGCAGCAGCCACCTTCGCTGCTTATGTGCAGAGGCTTTGCTGCAGGACCCTCTTGTTCCAGAGACTTCCTGTGTCCCCCACGTGTACCCCACCCAGGGTCTGGGCTTTGGGACCACAGCATCCTTACGTTCATTGATACCAGAGTTCAGCCTTTGCAATGGTCAGTTTTCTGTTACTGTGACAAAATGCCTCCAGGATCAGTTCTTCTAAAGGACAGGAGAGTTGTTTGTTTGTTTGCCTGTCCTGGGGATTGAACTCAGGGCCTGGGCATCATCCTTGAGCCTCTTAGTACTGAAGCCTAGTGCTCTACCACTTGAGCGACAGCGCCACTTCTGGCTTTTTCTCAGTAGTTTATAACTGAGTCTAATAGACTTTCATGCCCAGGCTAGCTTCAAACTACGATCCTTAGATCTTGACCTCTTAAGTAGCTAGGATTACTAACCTGGGCCACCAGTGCCTGGCTCATGAAGGTTATTTAGCTCACGCCTGGCGCAGATGGTTCAAGACCGTGGCTGTGTATCCGCGTGGCTCTGGCCGGCACCTTTCCAGTGTGTCATGGCAGTGGCGGTGGCGGCGTGGCTGTTAAGTTTAAGAGGGAGGATCATGGGAGGCTGGATCCCCCGGGGAGGGGCCGGGCCTGCTTTCTTACTACCATCTTGGGGGAACTCTGATCCTTCAAAGGGTGGTGCCCCAGAGCCCAGGTACCTCCCAAAGGGATGCCTCCTTAAGCAACTCACCTTTCCTGGGGGGACACACCCCTGGCTGTGGGGGGCCACTCCTGAGACGGGGACCAGTACTTCCCTGTGTGCGATCTCACCGCGGAGGCCGCACGCACCTCACAAAGCCAGGCCGGGGGGTCGTCAGGACGCACAGGGCGCCATGGTCCTGCCACCCCCGCCGCTCGGCATGGTGGAGGCGTGGTGGAGCCTCATGCGAAGGCCCGGCTGGGGGAGGCAGCGTCCAGGCTGGCGTCCAGCTCCTCACCCGAGCGCTGGCAGCTCTAGTGGGCAGAAGTCACATCCCTGTGGGACTCGCAGCCAGGGCTGCCCTCCCCAGGGAGCTTTTGAGGCGGGGTGGAGGGGCTCCGTGTTCATCCCTTGCTTCCTGGGGAGCACTTGAGCTACCAACCCCTGTCCATGGTTCCTCTTCCCTTGTTGAGATGCCAGGAGCTGAGCGAGGACAATAGGCCCAGTATCTGGGGTCCCCCAGCCCCTCCGCTGAGCGTGTCATCCGTCCCGACCGCTGTCAGGCCTCTGAAACCTTCAGCTCCCCTGAGGCTTGTCTAGGTACCCACAAATCCCAGGACGGGGATGGGAGCTCCTGCTGCCCCCACCTCTCTGGCTCTCCCGAGTCCCAGGTTCCTGCCCAGCCACTGGGCATGCGCACTCTCTGCCTGCAGGGCCCTGGGGCTGCTTGACCTAGGGCTCCTGCGGTGTAAGGACCTGGACTCAGATAAGCCTGGGTCCCAGGCGACACCTTTCACCCAGGTATATGGTTCCTAGGCTATACCTTCCACCTAGGTGCATACTGAACCTCTTAAAGAGTGGGGCCTGGGGCTGGGAAGGTGGCTCAGTGGTAGAGCGTTTGACCTTGCATGCGTGAGGCTCTGGGTTCCATTCCTCAGCACCACATAAGCAGAAAAGGCCAGAAGTGGTGCTGTGGCTCAAGTGGTAGAGC